GGGTGGCTGGCTCGTACCGCTGGGGTTCGGTGGCTGTGGAGCTCTTGGGGTTTGGCTGCCAGCTTGGAGGTGGGAGTACGGGGTGAGACGTGGGAACGGCATTGCTCACTGCTGTTGGAGCTGAGCAGCAGCTTGCCAGGCGCCCAGGCACTGTGCTCGGTGTTTTCCCAGGCTTCAAGGTCTGTTACTCAGCCTGACAGCAAACCCAGCTCTGTGCCTTGTGGCCCTGGATTTGGGAGCAAAGTGGGGCAGGGGGCTTCACCGGCTCATCCCCCACCGTGGTGCTGGGGAATGATGGGGAGAAGGTGTATAAACCCCTTATCGCTCAAGGTTTGTTTAGACTTGCAGCAGCCCTGTGCTCCCCATGTTGTGGATGCACGTTGAGGATTATGTGCGGCCCTGGCCCACCACAGACGTGGGGGGCAGAGCCCCCCGCTATGGGTGCAGTGCTGCCCATGGAGGGGGACAAGTCTGCGCATCCTGGGCAGATCCGCTCGCACCTGATGGCAGCGGGAGGTAGGGAGCACTGATGCTCGGCGTGTGCTGCACGGAGGTCAAGCTCTGCTGTATGGTTTCCTCTCTCCGAAGGTCTGAGACACCGCTGGCACCCTTTGAAGTACTGACAGGGGTTGTAGCCTGTGCTTCGCAGGTGGAGAGGTTTGAAGCCAAGTCTGCGCATCCTGGGCAGATCCGCTCGCACCTGATGGCAGCGGGAGGTAGGGAGCACTGATGCTCGGCGTGTGCTGCACGGAGGTCAAGCTCTGCTGTATGGTTTCCTCTCCCCGAAGGTCTGAGACACCGCTGGCACCCTTTGAAGTACTGACAGGGGTTGTAGCCTGTGCTTCGCAGGTGGAGAGGTTTGAAGCCCTGGGGACAGGGTGCCTGGGGGAGCCAGGGAGCTCCAGAGCCTCCCCGGTGCCACCAGCTGCGGACCAAGGCACGTGTGGTGTCCAGAGGGTGACTGCAGGGTGCTGAGCCCTGCACACGGATGCTGCTGGAGCGGTGCGCGGTCCCTCAGAGCAGGGCCGGCCCTGGGCCGTCCCACCAGCCGGATGGTGAACATGGGTCCATGTGCTCAGCCCTCCACCCTTTCTCTCTTTGAACAGGTAAAAAAACCGGAGCCCCCGAAAATCGCAACAAAGGTAACCAGCCTCTCCATCCTTTGAACCAGCACCACACTAACTACCGAGCATTCCTCCTTCCTTCTTTCCTTCCTTCTTCTCATCAGTCTGTGCTCTTTGCTGCTCCGGCGGGACTCTCGCCTCGTTGTCCTGGGAGAGGGTGCAACGGTCCCGTGGCTGGTGGCCCCAGCATGGCATCGCAGTGCCCTTCGGCACCCCACTACGGGGCTCTGCAGAGCTGGGATGGGGCTGGCCAGCTTTCCCCATGCCCACATTGCCCCTGCATGGGGCAAAGCCTTTGTGCAGGGAGGACAGGGCTCTTCCAGCAGCCTGGACCATTGGCAGAGCATCCCTTTCTCGAGGCAAACTTCATCCGTGTTGGCACAAGCCACAACTGTGACCTGGTGGCTCTGAAGCCCTTGTGCCTGTCAGAAGCCGTCCCTTTGCCGGGTTTGTGTTTGGGCATGGCTCAGGGAGAGATGTGGGTCCGCTCCTGCTGTTCCCGGGATGAAATGTCCCATGGGGCTTGGCCAGCGTGACTGTTGCACCCTCTCCTCCCATGGCCTCGACTCCGTGAGCGTCTCCTCGCCAGTGTTTCTCACACTGTTCTTTGCAGGCTGTGGAGGAAGCCCATTTCTGCACCTCTCTCTCCACCTCTTTCTCTCTTTCTCTCTCCTCTCAGCAGTTTGAGTTTCCCTCCTTCCCGTCAGACTGTGTCCGGGTGCTTGTTTTGTCCGTGTTGGGTCTGTTGTAACCGTGGAGGTGTCCGATGTGGAGCTGCCCTGAGCTCCGGGGTGTCTCGAGCCATCGAGCGGCAGCAGCCAGGAGGGGACAGGTCCCAGGGCATCTGCGGGCAGCAACGGGGCTCCGACGACTTAGGAGGAACCTCGGGGGGGTTTCCTACCCTCTTCCCATCCCTCTCCAGCTGACCTGGGTCTCCCCAGTGCAGACCTTCAGCTGGACTAGACCAATTATAGCAACTGAAAGCCTGGCTGCCTCAGGTCCTAAAAACATGATGGATGGCTCAGGGCTGGGATTCAAGGGGCTGGCTCACTCCTTTTCAATCTCCATCCGAATTTCTAACCGT